GTTCCATATGGGATTTAGGAGAAACTGTCAGTTTTCAGAAATATCTTATACTGATATCTTAATTCATGTTTTTATTGGTGATTTAAAAACACCGGGGGGACTGATGCGGTGAGGAGACAGGATAAATAAAAGGAACACTTTAAACACCATAACCACTACAGCCTCCTGCAGTGGTTATGGTGCCAGGACCCTGATACCACCCACATTAAAGAGTTAAACTGCTTTAGTACACTGTAACAACTTAGTGCAGCCATTGATTCCCATCTTCTCCTTTAGGAGAATCTGGTTAGCTCTACAAAGATAAACAAGGGCAATGCGGGGCGTGATCTCACCCATTGAGTGAGGTCCTGCGTCATCCAGAATTTACTCTGCAGTACATCTGGCTTCTCCTGCAGAACTAGGCCAGATATTGAGTCCCGGGGATCCAGGTAAGTTTACTATGTCAATCCATAGTAAAATGGTTTAACTACTTACCCTGGGATGGTGCTCGGCTCTTCTGGCACCATAACCACTACAGCAAGTAATATTGATTATAGTTCTTGCAGTGTTCCATTAATTATTTTCTATAAAATTCAATTAAAATATGATTTAAAAAATAAATAAATAACCCTACACATTGCTCATGAGATGTGTAGATACCTGCAAGTGGGTGATTTTCCTGGGCTGGCTAAATGTGGCCTAAATTTTAGAAGTCAGCCTTGAAATCACCACCGTTAACCGACGCCCCCTCCTCCCCCCCTAAAAAAATCTTCTTTTATCTCAGGTATAAAATCTGCAAAGCTGCTTACTGAGGTATAAAATATTTAGAGAAACTATAAGGAGATGTAGAGTATAGATAAAAATTCAATTTCTAGCAAAAAAACCCCATCTGTTTGAGAACCTGTATAAAAGTGTTCGAATGTGCTTACATGTTTAGTTTGAACAAAAAACACAACTGCAAATTTATCTTATGGACTTAAATTGACTTATGGACTCAAATTAGTCCTATGAAACAGGTCATACTGGCTCAAACAGAAGTTAATCTATTGAAAAAAATAATAATCTTATCAAATCATATTTAGGAAAGTACGTCCCCCTGTGAGACTTGCAAATTTTATACCAAACTATCATTTTGCCAGAATTCTCAAACACAGTCAATGTTATCGACTGAACAACAAATGTATCAAAAATGAAATCCGAATGTAAAAACCAGCGAAACCAGCGTATTTGGTCTCCAAAGTCTCCAAAATGCCGTTGTCACAGGTTGGCTATCTGTACCTCTGTTTTTCCAGTGTATAACCCTGAGTGTTTTTGCCAACATTTGAGGCCAAAATTGTACAGCCTTATCTCAGCTTCTCTGCAATGCCTGGTTTAGCAGATAAAACCCAATAGAGATAAGTACATGTCATTCCTGAATTTATTCTCAAAGCTTATAAATCTTTTTGGAGCCAATCTTTACGAGTGTAATAAGAGTTATAAAATACTGTATTATTTGGAACTCCGATATTTTCAGTGTATTTATTTTTAAATGATCTAGACGTGATTTTCTTTCTTTTTTTTTTCTCAATAAAAAAAAACAAAACACATTTGTGCAGATCTGGCAACGCGAGATTTAAGCCTCTTTGATAAGCCCACCGCCAGGGGATTTAAAGGGACATTCAGTTGTTTGTTTTTTTTTTTAACTTATATACATATGAAAACCTACTATATATTTTACCATACACTATATCATCGCACCAGCATCGCTTCATGAAATATATATTGTATTCATTTGAGTTCACTGAGTTAGTTGGTCCCCGAAGACAGGAGGATGACCTCACAAAGCTCGAGAATTGTTTACAAATTACAATTACATCTGTTCTATCCAGGGGGTACAAAAAACCCTCCTATCTCAGCTACCTTAGGGAGCTAAAAAGTCCAAAAAAAGCTCTACCTCCAAGGCATGCTTTTCTACGAGAGTTCACGTCCATATATACTTAGATGTGATTTCCCCAGAGAAATCCCATAGCCCCAATTTGAATGCACAAGTCGGGCTTCATCTTCACTACTATTTGTGGCCATGGATAGCTAGCCCCCCTACGCAGCTGCATTCTTCCTCTATACTAACGCAAAGTTTTTTCTTCTCGAGACCATACGGTTTAGCCAGTCAATGGCAGTAAATTAATTCTGCTACATAAAGTGGGCTCTTTATATTGTGATCAGAATCCACGTCAAAGGTATCTCCACTGACAGGTTTCTCTGATTGAGAAAAAAAAAGATTAAAATAATTTGTGGAGACAAAAAAAAAAGAGACGTGGTCATACAGATCAAAGAAATCTTTTTGTGGCCGAGCATGATAGAGGGGCAAATTTATGGATGAAAAACCAGGCACAAATATTATTCATTCGCTGTTAGCATATACCACCGCCGGCCATGAATGGTACAGTTAGACAGGGGGCCCACCAGTATCTTACAGAGAGAGGCACAGATTATAGAGATCATTTATTTTAGGCAAACGTACGTTTTTTTTTTGAGGTTTCCACAGTAAACAGTAATTCATCGTGAACTGACACAGAAGTAGCACAATTCAGGCAAAATCTCTGTGCTTAAAAAAATTGCTTATAATTTACTCACACACAAATACGCAGTATGCATATGTATGAACCCATACCTATACGCATGTGTACAGCAAAAATAAATGAAACAGCATTCATTCAAAATCATTAAAAAAATTAAAAAATACAAAATTAAAATACCGGTTTATTGTGGTTTTGGGGGGGGGGGCTTTTCTGTGAATTGTTGGGAATGCAAATTAAATTCACAGTAGATTTTAAATTTCAGGCCAAAATAACAGAAAACAGAAGTGGAGATTTTTTTTTCGCATTCGTCTATTATGGCCTTTAATTTAAAATTAACTTTGAATTCACTTTGGATTTCCAACTATTGACGTTCTTGTATATATCGCTGACATTGCAGTAGAAGTGTACATATTTTGACAGATCCGGAGATATATACATGGTACCTACGTTCATCTAAAATCAAATTCTTTTTAATCCTCAGCCGAATGGATCCATCTGAGATTTACCGGTGTAGTCTTATTCGTTGAAATTCGTTAAAGAAAAGTACACCGGTAAATCTCGGGTGGATCAATTCAAATTTGAGGTCATGTACACATTTTTGCACAAGTCTACAGAATAACATTAATGCCAGAGGAGTGAATTTGGGAAATACACAGAGGTGCCCCTTCATCACCCTTCCTATGTGAAAATGTTATGAACCGAAAGACAAGTTTTGATCTCAAAGTTATTTTAAAGTCACAGCAAATACATTATTTAAAGGGGAAACAAAAAATGTTTATATCTACATTGTGTTACCACAAGAAAAACTGATATATTTAACTCCAATGTCCAACAGTAAAGTAGTATTTTATCAACGTTTTACCACATTCCCTCAGATTTACTGAGTAGTTTATAGATTATAAATCACCATGTAAAATGTCAAACTGTATTTTTGTTTTTGTGTGCGCTGTGTCTTTAACTGTATTTTGTATAGATTTTGGTCTTGGCGGCATTTCCTTAGAAATGCATGTTCTGGGTGTGCCCCCAATTCCTCAATTCCCATGTTCTCTGTGTAGATTATAGATTATAGCAAAGCGTAACTCAATAGAACTTTGAATTAGCCCTGCTGGGAATGGAATATATAGCCCTTATGCGTCCACATCGGCCAACGGGGCAAAGTTTGACGTTATTTTTAATTAATTCTCTATTGTTAAAAGTTTATAGTGGCTTATAATTAAAACATACAGACAAATATATATATAAAAAAAATGGTTTCCAGTCAGTCACTTCTCAATCATGCCAACGGCCTATACCCGAATAACAGGAGAGCATGAGCATCTTATTATAAACTGCTTGCCTTCTCTCTGTCATAGGACGTATAGCACCGGGGAAATGTATCGAAACGTTCCATTCCATAAAGTAGTATAAAATGTAAAGGGGAGGAGTCTCCCATGGCATGTGTATCCTGGTTCCACTGGTTTCTATGGTGATTGATCCACTTTTAGTAATTCAGTAATTTAGTAAAAACCCACTTGTTAAAATGTAACATTTACGAAAAATGTTCCCCTTTGACATATTTTTATGTTTACTTTTTTGTGTTCATAGTGAGCTCCATTCTCAAAAATGCCTCAAAACTGGGGATTTCACTAATTTTATTCCTCAGGTTTTGCCACACAAGCAAAACACTCATGTCACAAAAAATGGCATCACTGCTTTTATGTTATTGTTTAAGAACCGACCAGGAAAACAGAAAGATAAGGGGCGCCAGTTACACTTTAGAATTGTTTTTATACCACCCCTATCACCAATGAACAAATACATAAAATCTAATAACCACCCCTCCTCCTCCCGTCACATCAAAGGGAAGAGAAAGGCCCCTGAGAATGAGAAAACATGAACCACAACAACTTAAACAGATGTGTCATAACGAGAGCACATCTCGACTGCTGCGACTCGGTCTCCGGCCTCAAACCACAGATCAGTAAAACCAGCGTTGAAATCTTCAGTGAATAATCATCCAGAAAGCTTTCCGGCTCATTTTCTTTCTTCATTTCTTGATACCCAGAGAGCTCCCTTAGTGCTTTGTAAAGTTCCTCACAGATTCTCCTCTCGAGTTTTTTTTTGAAAATATTTGTGTGACCCTTCCCCCCCCTTCTATGTCTGTGAATCAAACTAATAACTTTACTTCTGGTGAAATATGATGGTGGCCTGCGACAACCTCTTTAAATTAATATCTGTCACACAACGAGCTTTCAAACTTGTTAAAAAGCGAAAAAAAAACAAAAAACTAACAACTGGTTTTAGTTGATTTTAGGTTCATTTAGAAAAAAACCCAAAAAACACCTGCTTAGTTGTGCCATTAAAACAATATATATATTTTTTATATATATATATTCAGGAGTAGTGATGTCCCGAACGGTTCGTTGAATGGTTCGCGAACGGTTTGCCACGGTTCGCCACGAACGGTTCGCCGCGGACTCCAGTCAGCAGACACATTCCAGCCAATCAGCAGCAGACCCTCCCTCCCAGACCCTCTCACCTCCTGGACAGCATCCATTTTGAAGCTGCATTCTTAGTGAGCTGTCCAGGAGGTGGGAGGGTCTGGGAGGGAGGGTCTGCTGCTGATTGGCTGGAATGTGTCTGCTGACTGGAGTCCACGGCGAACCGTTCGGCGAACCGTTCGGGACATCACTATTCAGGAGGGAAACCTTAAAGGGATGCTCCAGAATGGAGTGACTCATTTTTTTAATGTGTTTTTTAGATTACAGATTAAAAATATGCAAAATCAATAAATAAAAAAGATCACAGTTGTAGTTATTTAATTGGATCCTACCTCCCACACTGTAGTTTCTGTACTAAGTTCCCACCAAACAAGGAAGTGAGTCTGCCAATGGTGATACTTACTTAACATTCTATGGCACTGCTGAACTTACTCAACAAGCAGTGTTTTAAAAAAAACCTTCGAGCACCATAACCACTACAGAAAACTGTAGTGGTTATGGTACCAGGAGTACCCAGGTGTTTCCCTCCCCCCATATAAGGAGAAACATTATAGAACTGTCTTACCTACTCCCTGCCTCCTATACAGCTCAGTAAGAGCTGGGAGCTTCTGATTCTGTTAGCTCTCCTTGGCTAAGCTCTCAGCCTATTACCTAAGCCCCCTACACCCCTACGGGCATTGCTCAAGGAAGAGAGCGTCCAACTCTTGCTGAGCAATAGTTGAGGCAAGGAGCAGCACCCGGAGGACCCCAGGTGAAAAGTCAAACAATTTTAAAACAGTTTGACTCATTACAATGGGGAGGGCACCAGGGCACCTATGGCACCATAACTACTACAACAAGCTGTGGTGGTTATGCTGCTTGGAATGCTCAGTTAAGGGCACTGCAATAGTTTGTGGGAACGGCAGTTTGATTTCTAAATTTCTTCTACAGCCCTCACAGTGTAAGAGAAAGAGGGTGGGAGGGGGAGGAAGGTGGGTGCCCCAATCAATGTATCTGCATATAAAAAGGGGTATGTGATCCACTGCATGGTATGGCAGCCAATCAGAGGTGGCTACATGACGGTGCTGCTGGAGCGTGTAGGTTTATTTATTTATTTTTAAATTTTTTATTTTTGTTGTGCAGATAGGTACAACGACGCCTGCATTGCCACAATAGCATAAACAAGCGTAGTCAGCTCAATCATAGTTATAACAGAAGTATGGCATGTGTGATAGCGCATTTTTATGATAGTGATCAAACATCAATCGTATCTGCATACACATGTCACTTAGTGAAGATAGTGAAAGACAGGCAGAGAAGAGATTAATTTAACGTGGTCTGTACAGACTCGCTAAACAAAGAGCATATAACATTGAGGTTGCTATTAGGATTATAGTCCCACTGTGGGTACTCAATAACAGAAAGAAAATAAAAAGAAACTGTAAGGCATATACACTCAGATTGCATCAAAATAGGACATATTTACTGTGTGCTATTTGGACTGAACCTGCAAGAGTATGTTATTAAGGAAGGTTAGTCCATGGAGCAGTCCATGTCAGTCACCCAATGCCAACCCTGGAGGCCCGGGAAGAAGATTTAATTAGATACCACCTAGCTGTGAGTCAGCCACCATGATCCGTCTGGTTTTTTGTTTTGTTTATTTTGTGCATGGTTGTAAATCGGTGTGTGTGTGTTAAATTGCTGTATTTCTGTGTGTAAATAAAGTGTGACTTTCTGTAGTGTTAGTGACACTGTGTGTTAGTGAGACACTGTGAGTTAGTGACACTGTGTGTTAGTGACACTGTGTGTTAGTGAGACACTGTGAGTTAGTGACACTGTGTGTTAGTGAGAGTGTGCAAGTGACACTATGTTAGTGAGAGCGTCTAAGGTACAGTGTGTGTTAGTGACACTGTGTGTAAGTGACACTGTGTGTTAGCAAGAGTGTGTAAGTGACAGTTTGTGTGTGTTAGTAAGAGTGTGCAAGTGACACTGTGTGTGTATGTCAGTGATAGTGTGTGTGTGTTAGTGAGAGTGTGTAAGTGACACTGTGTGTTAGTGAGAGTGTGTAAGTGACAGTTTGTGTGTGTTAGTGAGAGTGTGCAAGTGACACTGTGTGTATGTCAGTGATAGTATGTGTGTGTGTGTGTTAGTGAGAGTGTGTAAGTGACAGTTTATGTGTTTTAGTGAGAGTGTGCAAGTGACACTGTGTGTGTTAGTGAGAGTGTATAAGTGACACCGTGTATGTCAGTGAATTTGTGTGTGTTAGTGAGTGTGTCTCTTTTTTTTTTCTAAATGTGTGCTTACTATGTCTCTCTCCTAAATGTCTCCCAGTCGCTATTTCCTAAATATCTCAACAGTCTCTCTACTTTTTCCCTAAGGCTGTTTCCGTTCTCTAAATATCTCACCGTGTGTGCTTTTACTTAAAGGGATATAGACTATAGACACCCAGACCACTTCAGCCAGTGGCGTACACACGACTCATGGGGCCCCGGTGCGAAAATTGATCCGTGGGCCCCCCCCCCGTGCTTACACTGCGCAGGCCGGGGCCGCAACACATGTCAGCAGGCACCTGCGACCCCTGCGACCACGCTATGTACGCCAGTCCATGCAGATGCACACACACTTAAAGGACCACTACAGACACCCAGATCACATCAGCTCAATGAAGTGGTCTGGGTGCCAGGTACCTCTAGTTTTAACCCTGCAGCTGAAAACATAGCAGTTTCACTGAGGGTTAATCCAGTCTCTAGTGGCTGTCTCACTGACAGCTGCTAGAGGCGCTTCCACAATTCTCACTGTGAAAATCACAGTGAGAAGACGCTGGACATCCATAGGAGTAATGCTCTCCTATGGGCGGTTTGAATGCGCACGCGGCTCTTGCCGCACATGCGCTGCGCATTCAGAGCTGAGAGGCGGATCGGGGCGGAAGGATCCCCAGCACCAAGGGAGTCCGGCGCTGGAGAAAGGTAAGTGCTGAAGGGGTTTTAAACACACTCTCACGAACAGACGCATACACACTAGCTAACAGACACACACATTTACTGACAGAGACACACTCAGCGACATACATACATACTCACTGACCCACAGACACACATACACACTCACTTACAAAACATACACTCTCACTGACAAACACACACTCACTAACAGATATCAAACAGATTCACTAACAGACACACACAAACACACTCAGTAACAGACACACACAGTAACACACTCACAGACACACACACACAATGACACTCACTAGCAGACACACACTGACACTCACTAGCAGACACACACTCAATAACAGACACACACAAACTAACACACTCACTGACACTCACCAGCAGACACACACACAGTAACACACACACTGACAAAAACTAACACACACACACTCTAACACTAACACACATACACAAACACAAGTTTTTTTTTAAATGTAATCCCCCAGCCTCCTTACCTTTGGGAGAGCTGAGGGGATTCCCTGTGGTCCAGTGGTGCGGCCGGGCTGTCTGGCTGTCTGGCGGGCTGGCGGGCGCGTGAGGGAGCACTCTCCCCTGAGCGCTCTCTGCCCAGCTCCCTCGTGCACACCGCACTGATACCGGAGCCGGAATGACGTCATATTCCGGCTCCGGCATCAGTACTCGGCGCGCGAGGGAGCTGGGCAGAAAGTGCTCAGGGGAGAGTGCTCCCTCGCGCGACTGCAGAACCGCCAGGTGACACCAGGGACAGCCTCGGGGGGTCCTGAGGTGGCCAGCTCAGTATTATTGTATAATACTTTCCTATGGGGAAATCCTAATGCGGCCATTGAGGAGTGAAGGTGGAACCGAGCCAGCGCCGAGGGACATCAGCCTGGAAGCGTTTTTTACCCATTTTGCACCACGAGGTAGGGGCTCTTGACAGAGGGGGAAGCTATAGTGCCAGGAAAAGAAGTTTGTTTTTTGGCACTATAGTTTCCCTTTAATGTCTACTCACTGTGTCTCTTTCCATAAATGTCTCTTGAAATTCAGAGTTTAGTGAAGAACCCTCTGAGGGAATGTAGTTGCAGTCATTATAGGGCAGCAAAATGGATTCTTGCCTAGAGCGGCGAGAATCCTTGCAACGGCCCTGGCTGTGCGCAATATAACCGGAAAGATCTTACACTTCTCTTTGTCTATAGCCATGTACGAAGCATCAGTAAGAGAAATATCTCTGGAAGGAGATTTATATCAGCCACTTACTGGAGAAGTACTGGAAAACCCCTTTAAAAAAATAAAATAAAAAAGGGGGGAATTCTAAGCACGAAGAATATATCAGCTAAGTATAAATACTTAGAAAAACACCCTCCTACCGAACATTACGTTTTTTGACCCCGAACCCGGACATTTCAGTAACAGTTGGGGTTCGAGTTCGGTGTTCGGCGATTTAATGGCGCGTTTTGAAAAGCTGCAGGGCAGCCAATCAACAAGCGTTTGACTTGTGTGCTCTTACTAATGGCATGGCTGTGATTGGCCAGTGCAGCATGTGAGCCATCTACCAAAAGGCTGAAACACCGAAATTGGTCTTCCAGTCACATTTACTACTACTAAGTAAAGATTACGTAGTATTAGTAAATTCAGCCCCTACTTGCTATACCGCAAGTACCCCTGCCTAGTAAACAGTGAGAAGCCGATGGCTGCTCACTGTAAAAAAATTTGAAAAAAATAAAAACCTATTGGCCCCCACTGCTCACCTCTTCACCTCCTGCAATATCATCGAAGAGGCATGGCCTGGTCCAATGACGCTCTGATCCAACGCTCCTCATAGCACCATGCACATCCAAGCTTCCACATCAGAAAACAATTAATTCAGTGGTTTCTGGGTTTCCACATCACATGACGGAGATTTACTCGATCAGTGCAGCGGAAGCACCTCTAGTGGCTGTCAGGAAGATTGCAACTGAAGGTGGATTTAACTCTACAGTGCAAACATTGCAGTTAATAAAAAAAATAAAAGGACAAGTGCACCCAGACCACTTCCTTGACTTGCTTTTTTGGCAAACCTCACAATCACACAATTGGTAATTATAGGAGATAAATAAATATAATATTAAAAATCAGTGGAAATAATGATTCTCTTCCAGAATCCCTGGAGCACACTCTCTTGCTTAGTACATTAGATTTATTTATACATTATGGGGTTTATTCACTAAATACCAAACTGTAGGGACGTGAAAATTGTAATATAAATTAAAGTTTTCCAAAAATAGAAGTTCTAGTGATTATATCCATGTACCATTAAACATTCACTTTATCCAACTCTATAGACTCCCTTCTTAACACCGACGGAGGCAGCGATGAAAAGGCAGGGCCTCACAACTCACAAGGTAAATAGGATTTTTCACGTTTATGAAAATATGTCTTTTTACTCAACACGTAAAATAAAGAGTTATTTTATTTTTTCTTTAGTAATAAAAAGAAAAAAAATTAACAGCACCAGAATATTATATCCATAAAATAAATATTTTATGTATTTAGCGTAAATATTAATGAAGGGTGCCACAGTACGCCCGTGTCTCATCTGAGAACAAAACAGGAAATTGCAAGCAGTCAATATGCTGTTTATAAGGCTCGCTGGTCTCCATATAGCAGTACATTCACATCAAAAGGTATAGAGATCATACATTAAACATGTAACATTTACTCCGAATTTTCTTGAAAGAAAAATAAATTTTATATACACACAAACACACGCACGCACGCACGCACGCACGCACAAACACACGCACGCACAAACACACAAATGCCACAGATTATCATTGAAGAACGTTTTCTGTGTGACAGCGATAGAACACACTCTGCAGTTTCCTGTTTATTATTTCTTTATAATGTTTATATTATTATTCAATATATGTTTTTCATTTTTTGTAAGGGCTACCTACTGAGCCAAATAACTACAGACTATGTCCTCTCTCCGAAAGGCTTTCCCAAACAGTAAATAAAATTTACTTGGATATAGAGCAAAATCCCATAATCCTCTGATACAATAAAATATGGCACTGCATGTGTACTGCTTGCCTTTGCAAATTTGCCCCCGTTGATACAGTGTTAACTTCGGTAGTGCAGAGCAGATAAGACCAATTTGCTGATGTTTTGAAAATGGGGGATACAATTAAATGCTGTGGCTTCTGAAAGATGGGCCAGTATTATAGCATATCTATTCAGTTTGTACTAAATATCATTTATTTACTGAATTTAACAAACCCCCCAAAGGAGGATATTAATTCACTCAGCACAGAAGTAGTCGTACAATGAATGAACAAATGGCGCTTTGACGACCCATTCAGCTTTTGGTTAATATTTCGACCATTATTCATTTTTGGATAAAATCCATTTTTGTGCAAACAGCTGGTATGCTTTAGGTTCAGGGAGTACACCCCAAACATAATATACTGATAATCTGGATTATCTCAACGTATCTTCCTTAAAATCTAAACATATATGACCATTTTTAAAAATGTATTTATAGGGAATAACATCCACGTATGGCCTGACATGATGCAGTAAATATTTTCATTATATATTATAGAATGTACTAAGTTTGGCCTACACTAGTTGGCTGTAGGCAGCACTGAGCTTTGGTTGGTCAGTGGTTATATTGGTACCATGGACAATTGAAGATGTAATAAGTGAAAATGCATTCAATAATTACACCGTATGATCACCTTGAGGACAAGGCGTGGTATGACATGAACTAATAACCCAAAACCATTCTTCTGGAGTAATTAAGAAACTTGGGTCAATAGCTGCTCTGCTAGGTTCAGTAGTGGACTGTATATCAATGAAATGGGAATGCATTTATTGACAGTCCTCTGGCACCTCGGCGTGTTTGTGCAGAGTTCGGGAAAACAGTCTGTGTTCTACATTATTTTATCCTAATATGCATAAACTCGGAAAGCCCACGTTCTGAGCTCTGCCTAGTGATGCATTGGAGCTTACAAATCATAACATCTACAAATATACCAGTGATGGTTGAAATGACACCAACAGGAAACTATATTTAAGGGGACACTATAGTCACCAGTCACAGCTTATTGAATTTGCTCTGGTGAGTAGAATCATTTCCTTCAGGCTTTTTGCTGAAACACTGTCTTGTCAGAGAAAATACAGTGTTTACATTACAGCCCAGTGATAACTTCACTGGCCACTCATCAGATGGCTACAAGAGGTGCTTCCTGGGGCAGTCATGCTTAATGTGCAGCACTACCATTCAGTGTCTTCACCCTCTGCATGGAGACACTGAACTTTCCTCATAGAGATACATTCATTCAATTCATTTCTACGAGGAGATGCTGATTGGCCAGGGCTGTGTTTGACTTGTGCCGGCTCTGCCCTGATCTGCCTCCTTGTCAGTCTCAGCCAATCCTATGGGGAAGCATTGTGATTGGCTCAGACCACCACTACTGCTGTTGTCAGTAGACAGGGGCAGAGGTAGCAGCTGCAGACTTGAATACAAGTAAGATTTGACTATATTTAGGGTGGCAAGATGAGTTAATGGGGGCTAGATGGAGGTTTTAACACTTTAACACAGGTTTAACATAGGGTCAGAAATATATGTTTGTGTTCCTGACCCTATAGTTTTTAAAGCCCCAGACAAAGTCAGAAGTTGGACAAACGCGTAGGGTGCGGTGGAAAGATGGACTTGGTGTTTGTTTAATTTATTTATGTATTATTTGCGTTCTTGCCTGTTTTATTTAATTATTTGTTCCTGCTTCTGGGAGGTCCTTGAAATTTCTCTTTCGGATCGAGCGAAGTGGATTAGAATCGTCGTTTTTACTATTTTTATCTTGTGAGTGCAACCTAATAAAGTGTTATTTTAAGTGTATAGAGCACTGCACTACGTATCTCCCACATGTGAATACCTGGATTAAGGGAACAATGGAAGCTCTGCATCTGTACATTCTATTCTGCTCATTACCAATCTTAATCTGTGAGTGCAATGTACACTATTGTGGTCCTCTTGTATTTTATATTGCAGATTATATTTTTATGTGAACGATATTTACCCAGAGTGTACGATGGTGTTGGTTGTTACCCCGTGTTTAGGGTGATGTCATTTATTCTGCTCTCACCCCTTCGTGTTTTGTGGGTGCTCTATTTATTTAATCAGCAGGTGTTTCTGGTTTCACTTCGGTTTGTTTTTCTCCTCTTTGTCATTGCTCCACATGAAAGGTGACGTTACAGAAGAAATAAGTCATGTTTTCGAGCCACATTAAGAGCCAGCACAATATTGTATCACAATACGAGAAACTATGAGAACATTGTAGCTCAACTAAACACTCCACAACAACGAGTAACATATTATACGTAAAAGGGTAAATCTGAGCAATTTGAGAAGCTGTATAGGCGAGTAAAACTTTTGCCCGGGTAAGAAGAAATTCATCCTTGGAGAGTGTGGTATGGATACTCTAGTGGCAAGTAACTTGTAAGGCCTGGCTAGTAGTATAGGATTTCATGGTTTATATATGTATATATAAAGTGATATTATAGGGATAATAATGGATATTATAGGGATAAAGGGATATTATAGAGATAAATGGATATTATATGGATATTTCTTAGTACCGTGCAACATACAAATTAGAATCCAACAATATTAGTAATTAATAATTTAAAAAAAACAGCAATTTGTATCATATAATAGCACGAGAGATTTGGCATTTGAAATGAGTAGAAAATAGAATTTAGACAGAATCAGTGTAATTGTAGTTAATAAGAAACCCCAATAGCAAATATTAAATGCTATGACAATGAAGGGTAAATAGAACTCTATATGGAAGCATGATTCGGATACATTGGAGATAAGTTAAAATAATTCTTTATAGTTTCTCCACGCAGGTTGGTCTTCCTGTTAGTGAGTCCTGTATAAGAACATGTTGATGGGTCCCTTTTGTTGTCTTTATACTAACACCCACCAACTCTTTAAGGGGGTGATTCTGATTGAGGTTATCTGTCTGGCCCCTGTCTCTCATTGATACATGCCTTCAGCGCCATTTAAATGTGGTCTGCTCATCTAATCTGATCTAAACTATGTAAAGTGGTTCTCGGCTCACTACCCCTCCAGGTTTAATTAAAAGATAAATTAATATACATGATAAGCATTAACATTAAGTATTACAAACTCACCGAATTAAAATTTGACCCAGGGGGGACACTGTGTTTCTGGGGTTCTTAAACTTTTTTTGATCGGAACACAAATTATAGAGATGACATAAACTAAGTGACCGGTACTTCACTTATAACACTACTCTAGAGATCACTTTCTACAACTGTCTTTAATATATTATAGAATTGTAAACAATATTTATCATCCTTCCTAGAGGTGACTGAGAATTCTCCTTCACACGGGAAAGACCATACAGCTACAGCAGCCAGTGGATTTTGGGCGTTTGTATGGGTCGGATGAATATGATAGGCCAGTTCTAACTGCGGTCCCAGCCCAGGGGTTAAGAACCAAAGATCCTGAATTATCTGTCTAGGCTTTTTGGATTTAAACTGTGTTTGAGTGTTAAATGTAGTAATTTTTTTAAAAAATTCTGTTTATTGATTTTTAGTTAGAGGAAAACACATACGACAAAATGACAACGGCAGAAACTTTGCCCACAAGAAAAAAAATAACAGTAAACATACAAACTGACAAATATATCAAATTAAGACACAAAGTACATTCGTTGAAGAAAAGTGGATCATAATGCAAACATGCGGACCAATGTTTTCCATCTTCAGAAACCTCGGAGATTATCCTTTGGGTACCAAGACAGACACGTCCAGTGTTTACTGAACGCCTAGAAAAAAGCCTCATTATCTAAATCAAGCAGTTTTACCCTAAACAAGAATTAAAAAGAGTTATTACACCAAGCTACAGACCAAAGAATCCATCGAGAGTACCAAGATATGATTAGCAATAGCTCAAACACATACTGTGTATCAATGGAATCTAAGAAAATAAACTGCTAACTCGATATATCTCAAACTCTAATAAAAGAGGAAAAAGGGAAAAAAGGGAATCTAAACATATCATTAAACACCATCAAATATATTTTTTTTAAACTTCAGATGATAAAACTTAACATGAGCAGAAAATAAAATCTTATTCTGAATTTATAATCTCTGATCTTTGATGCTTGTGGCTGGCCTTGAACGAAACATTCACAAATTGTATTATTTCCTTCCGCTCCCCTTGTGTTGGTCAAATTGCGTTAGTATAAGGCAACTGCAGAACTCCACCGCAGTCTGTGAAGCCTTCATTCACACGCCAGGCTGATATAATCATTCTGCACAAGGGGCGTTCGTCCATTTATCTGGGTCAAAGGGAATTCCTTTATTGTTTGATTTTTTTCTTGCCTTAATATTATCTTTGCACCGATCTGATGTTTTTCGAAGTCAAGATATGTATCTCCTTCTTATAGTTCTTCCAACCTCACAAACCGAGGTTTGGGTCTCCTGGAAGCGAGACAGGAGAAATCAGACCAATGATGTCCTTTGTAAGCGGAAACTCTTACTTTACTGGCCATTGGTACTCAGTGATAAATAAAGCTACCAAATAGCACTGTTTCACGCAGAGTATTTGGGGTTTAGCAGCTGGAGGATGACAACCAAACTGAACCCCTTTTCTTGGGTAGTGGTGGATGTGTAGCCTCAACTAAAAACTATCCACTCTATTTCCCAAAATTAGAAACTTGACTATTATAAAGGTTGCCCATATGAATACAAACTGAGAGGTTAATCCAGAATAACTCTCTACCTGTATCTATCCTCCTTACCAGATAATTCGTATTCCAGGACCCATTGAGGGCTCAATAAACCCATCCCCAGCACTCTCAGCCAATCAATACCATCCAGGCTGGATAAAATTGTTATTGATTATGCAGAAGTGTTAATTCTGCTTTTTAAAAACGTCTGTGCCCAGATCAGTACCAGTATATACCAGGGGATGGCATCCACACACACTCAGTCCCATAACCATTAGTGGACAGAGTGAAGAGATTATTTGCTAAAAAAACAAATTGTTGTGAAATTAAAACTGAATTGTACCAATTAGGCAACAATTTGTAAAAGAATTCCATCTCAGCCATAGTACTATATCGCTTGGCTGTTTCTGTGAATTTTACAAAACGTTTTTTATTTTACTGAAAGTTAGAGTTTAGTCAAATAAGACCTTCGGGATCATCCTGTTCCACAGCAGAAAAGGGGTTTAAAATATAGCATCTTGTATTGTAAATGATAAATAAAGATTGTACAAAAATAAATATAAATAAAACATGGCATCTATTTTTTTCATTTCACATTCCACATTTTTTACACAGCCATAATTACATATCTAGATTAGGATCTAGGGTCTCCTACTCCATTTTTATCGTCGGTACATGTTCATTAGTTGTCTGTACTCTGTGTATTGTACAGGGCTGCTGAATATGTTGGCACTATATAAACACCAAATAATAATGATAACGACTTCAGCTCTCTGTAGGATTGTCTATAAGAGTCAAAATATTTAAGTATTCCTATTCAGTCAGCAGCTAGATCGTGTAGATCAGGGTAGAATTGTTATTCCCCAAACTCAGACCTGTGTCTGATGGCATTTCTGGCTCCAGTGAATTAACCGTCCATTTATTAGTGGATTCTCTGGCACTGAGCAACCTGGGACATGACGTAATGGAAATTTCAGTCCTGTAATAGGGAGAACTGGGTTAAAAAGCTATAACTACCAGTGACAGAAACCCACCGTGTATACCATACACTCATGTTGTTGTTGCTTTAAGGGAAGTAAATGGAGTTTTAATGGCAGTGATGGATACATTAAAGATTAGACATGTGGCCCCAATTCCTCTGCCCAATGTCCACACAGAGACATTATCAATGGGAGCACAACATTATTGATAATCAGCAATACAAGGCTCGATTGACATGGTGATTGGGTAAATAACCTAACACTAATAATAAGGCTATAATCAATAATACTGAATTTTATTATTAAAAATATAGGAACGATATAAAACTAAAGTTCTTAAAATACCATTTGTGTGTAATTGTAACTAAAAATATGTAATTCTGAATTAATCGCATAAAGAAATTTATAGTCTGCAAACATTATTTTAATTCGAGTTCAATACAATATATTGTTTTAGCAAACATCCATTGATTAAGCAGCCGCCTTCTGTACTGACCATGCAACTCAGTAAACAGGTCGTGTCTAAAAGTGTTCTTTGTGTCTATTTCAGTTGAGGAGATATTTAGAAAGTTTGGTGGTACAGTTGTATGTGCTATTAGCAATGTGTTTTGTCTGTGTTCCTGTATCCCTGGTGTCTGGTGTTTCCCAGAGAGATTAACATATATCGTCTGCTATGGTCTGATATAGTCATATTCCCCAATTTGGCTATAGTCGCTGCTTAGCTATTGAGCCAATATATTTAGTTTTCAGTTCAGTGTTTATAGACAGCACAGCAGCCATTTTAGTTTTCCAGCTTTGAAATAAAATTGCTTTTAAATTAAATTAAGGAGAAATAATTGATATAACTTGACACAGATTATTGCTAGTCATCTTTAGATCCACAAGACAGATTTATTGTTTAAGGGATTATTTTTCTATACGGAGGCCATCCTGTCTAGAAAACACATTGTTAATAATATACTGCGTCCTTATTTTAATAGTGCAAAGATTCTGAACAGTAACGACTAGTAATGCGGCCATTATAAAACACCTTAAAATTAATGTGATCTCAGTCTAGATTGCTAATTATTTACCTCCTATTTATATCACCAGAATATCATTCTGACGCCGCTCTCAAAATCTATCGTTTATTTGTCCGGTTTTTCTGTCAGAATGCTAAGACAACCCTAGTACCTACCACAAAAAAACCCATCTGGAATCATATCTAACTACTTCTCTTCACAAAGAAAAAATTATAATTACTATGTAACAAAAGAAGAACATATACCAAACAATATCTAAGATTAAATTTGCATTCAGGGTGTAGGCAGGTGTCTGTAGGCTGATACTTTATTGGAAAAATATCTATCTGTCTGTCCCTCCGTCCGTCTGTCTGTCTCTATCTGTCTGCCTGTCTCTCTCTCTATCTGTCTATCTGTTTATCTCTGTCTGTCCGTCAGTCTGTCTGTCCGTCCGTCTGTCTGTCTCTCTCTCTATCTGTCTATCTGTTTATCTCTGTCTTTCTGTCTGTCTGTCCATCAGTCTGTCTGTCTGTCCGTCAGTCTGTCTGTCTGTCCTTCCGTCTGTCTGTCTCTCTCTCTGTCTATCTGTTTATCTCTGTCTGTCCGTCCGACTGTCTGTCTCTCTCTCTGTCTATCTGTTTATCTCTGTCTGTCTGTCTATCTATCTGTCTGTCTGTCTCTCTCTCTATCTGTCTGTTTATCTCTCTCTGTCTGTCTATCTATCTGTCCATCTATCATTGATTACCTGGTAACAGTGCATTATGTTGAGCTGAGTTTACAACCTACTTGTATAATCTATTCTAGAATAATATCCACGCAGGACACTTTGTATCCAGCTCCAGTATCACTCACCACAACCATGCTCACCATGCTCACTACTCTCAGAGGTCTTTCAGAACACAAATATTGCGAATATAATAAAAATTTACAGTCCTTTTTTAGTGTTTTCCAGTCTGATTTAGGTCAGCAGGGTTATTTACTAAGGTGAGAATTCAAAGTGAATTCCAGATGTTTTAGCCGCATCAGATAAATTATCTATACCATCTATTCTTCCAGCTCGGCTACTCTGGTCTTACATTTAAAATCCACTTGATATTCTCACTTTAGTACATAGACCTGAAAGGCTAAGACAATTATTTAAAATGAGACAATGTTAAGATAACTGGAACTTTTAAATCCCACTCTTACACCTGCTCAGCTATCGACACAGCTCCAAAACGTTAATCTAACAGCGTAAAGATTGGAGACATTCAGAAAACTGTGTCATGTCCACAGCCGTCAAAAAAGAACATTTTAAGACTTAGACTTTTTTATTGTAATTTTATACGTAATGATTGTAATGTATCATGTAACTATTTTATCTTGATATTTACAGTTTGTTTACCACAATTTATATCTAAATAAAATACAGTTTGAGTTGGGGCACTTATATCACACATTCAATTCAGGCCACAAACATAAACTGTGTGAACGGCTCCCATTTCTTTTATATATTAATTGCTACTCTAATTCATAATTATATTGTCATTAAACAATTGTAAGGAAAGAAATCTGTACTGACGCAGCATATTAAAATATTGTCAGGTTTATTTACGGCAGTGTAAATTGCAAGGAAATCAAACTGATTTTACATGTTAACAGCCGAACTAAAAGCCTGGACATACAGATATATTATAACTATTATATATCAGCCTATATTATTTCATAGCATAAAATGCTGGAATTCACTTTGGATTAACTTTGAATACTTTAGTGGCTACCCTTGTTAGAGTAATTATGTGAGTGTGAAGTTTAGCATCTGCGTACAATGAAACGCTAGCAGGTTTATTCCGAATTCATAGCGAATTTCTAAATCTAGGCCAAAACAGCCATATTGGGGGAAAAAAATCTCCATTTCTTTATTTTTTGTTGTTGTTGTTTTATAAAATTTTATAAAATGGTTTGAGTTCAGACCATTCACACTTCAGTGAAAATCCTGTAGGTAATGTATACTCAGAACGCCAACACGGCGTGCTTCCTTGCTGAAAAATCTGGTTTGAAAAGTACTGTTGTATCACCATGTTATGAGAACCAAGAGCAGTGGCGGCTGGTGATGTTTTAAGATGGTGGGGCACTGTCTCCCTTCCCCCCAAACTTGTTGGGCTATACCCGATTAATTCCATCAGATGCCAAGCCATCTGCAAAACTAGCTGCACATCCAGTCATCGATGAAGTGGAGATTAGACACTGCAGATATAAATCATGTCAGACACATATTTTTTCTAACACAGAATTTAGTAGTCCTTACAGTGCCAGCGGATTTTATTTTATTTAAAATAAAACTGGGGCAAAACGTTTAATGACCAGTGTTCCTTAGCCCTGTTTCAAGTTCCAATGCTGTTTTCAGTGAACCCACAATGACTGGAGCAGGACTTTTATATTCATCGGACCATAGGCAGATGCCCCCCAAACGGCAGTAATGCCTGTACCCATGCAATGGATGTTCACTATTTATTTTATAATATATGATATTATTGTTGAAGAATGAGTCTCTGAATTAATTTAACAACAGAAGAATGAATCACAGAGGAAAGAAAGAAAGAAAAACAAAGATGGCCGCTGTGTATTTTATTTGTGGATCAGATTTCATCTCTAAAGTTCTGTATTCAAGACTAAGGTCCACTAAAATAGTATCTCATTACTTACTGCTAGATCTATAACATATACAAAGATACACTGAGCTCTGTTAGCCTTCATCTATTTTGTTACAGACCCCAACATCTCAATACTTCCGGTATTCCATTTTGTAGGCCTTTGTCTGAGCAATGCTACTGATATCTACGAACCAGAGGGGAAGAGAGTATTCTGACAATAAATCAGATAGAGATAGTTGCACTCAGCAGGTGTAAGAAGCAGTTTAAAACCTTTGATCTTCACATAAACATGAAACTGAGTGGCCTAAAACCTTGAGGTATGTCCGTACTACATAAATAAATGTAACCAGTGGTTTTAGTTCTAAATATCTCTTGCAAGGGTTCTCCAAATCAAGTTTCCATAACTAGAAAGTGTAAAAGCAGAGGAACTATGCATTTATTGCTTTAAGCCTTTCAATCCTGTGAAGGCTTTCTACAATTTTATTAAAACTATTTCAATAAACTTTAATTACTCGACTGAACAAATAACGTAACATTGTTTCATGAAACACAATCTGGGGGATTATGCACATAGGTATACACTAAAATGTGAATGCAAGTGGAATACAAAGTAAATGCAAATACATTTTTGATATTTTAGGCCATGCTGAGCTGAAAACATAGCCAGCCACGTTGGATGTTTTTCAATTTAGCTTTTTTAGTCTAAAATTCACTGTGAATTGCTGATTGTTCACACTGTAGTTAATAACACCGTTAAAGTAGAAAATGAAAGGTAAAATGAAAGGTAAAATACACGTAGTGAAATTAAAACCGACATACTCTAAAGTTACAACCTGTGTACAGCAGTGATCTGAAAAAACAGAACCAGTTCTCCCATGAAAGTATCTGTGCAGCCGCTAATATTACAGACTGTGCTTATCAAAGTATCTGGGCACATCTATTGATAATCGTTGTTACAGCACGCTAAAACGCAAAAGGCCAAATTAGACTTATATAAAGAGCTCCATAACATGTTTCTGAACTGATTGCCATTGAAATATTTTTAAGAAAATTCACGTTGATGCCTTGGGGAGAAATCATGTCACGCAAACCTGGACCCCCAAATATTAAACACAATTTACCGCAGCAAGTATTTTGATTGTCTCATAAGAGGACACCCCACCAGAAGCACGTTTCAAGACAAGAGCCATCTCGCAAATGTTAGTCTGATTTACAAATGCTGCTAACATAGGTAATTTCAAGTTACCTGTCTCCAGGACTTGGGTCAGTAGGACAGTTGACGCAAATATCCGCTTGGACTTCATGTTTGTTTCTGGACAGCAGTCACAGGGCTGGGGTCACAGGTGTAGCATCCAACTGCTTGAAAAGACTTGTATGCTGTGCACGCTCTCCCTCCCTGCCCTGTTACGACTGTGTACAGGAAATGGAACATCTTAAGATGATCACATTCAACATTCTACTCACTAACTGACATACAAAGAGACCACACTAGGATCCACAGAGCTGCGTTTTTTTTTTTTTACAAATTTCTTTTTTTATCTCTTCCTCTTCCTCCACTTGGAAGTTGTGTCTCTTATTGATAATGAGACGTTTTAGCCTCGTCCCTCGGCTAGCTACCCTGAATTGTAGAAAACATCTTTAATATAAACAGAAAGCTACACAAGTTAAATTTGGATTTGTTGGGCATTTGCTGTTAATATTTTTGTAGTAAGCTATACATAGCTTTATTGGTAATGATGAATTACATTGATATCTTAGATAAGATACATATTAATTTGTACATTTCACATAAAGTACCCATATTCACGCTGTAGTCAGGATGTTTTTCAAATATCATTACCCCGTGCAGGTAACGGGGTTTGGAGGGTTATATAGTGGCATTATTGACTAGTAATCTGCCACATTTTATACACAAATACTATCAGCAGTGACTAATCTTCTTCCTCCAATAAGCCCACAGACCAGTGGTTTTTAAACACAGGGGCATGACACAGATTTAGGTCCTCATTCGATTTCAATGGTTTCTCATTGGTTGCCACAGATACATCATATGCATAAGGCCCCGTGCAACCGCTCACAATAAGATGTTTATTCCAATGGCATAGCCTTGCTCAATACTGCAATAGGAGCTTCTGACACTAAGTAGCTGTCATACCTGATCCACATGCCAGATGTCCCCTAATGGTCCTGGGTGCTCTCCTCAGATCCGGTGATCCCCATGGTGGACGGTCCAACATTGGCAATGACGCAGAATGCTCTGCCTCTTCCTCCCTTTATCCTAGTCGCGACCAACGTCTTGTGAGGGAGCCCTGCCAAAACTCTTTGTCCACACAATGCGGGATGCGTTTGTTTTATCGCACAACATGAGACAAACCAATTAGAGGCCTCAGGAACCTCTGTTAAGCCCTCTCTTCATTGTCCTGCTGTTGTTTTTGCAAGCTCGAGAGAGTGCGTTCCTATTGTCTTGGTATTTCTGGTAAACGACTTGGCTTTGTTTAATCATTTATTCTTTATTCTGATATCCCTGACTCTTGGCTTTTTTATAATCATTTATTTATTATATTATTTATTTACGTCTCCAACTCTGACCATGGCCTGTATCTGACTATTCTCTATACCTTATACATTATATGATAAGTCCCTTATTAAAACCTCTTAGGTGAGTCCTACACTAACAATTCATCTCGCTGCTTTCAGTTATCTCAATAGAGATTTTGTCTTTTAGCCCAAAGAAGCAAAGTGAGTAGTTAGTGTAGGAGTTGCCTACGAGGTATTGCCTTGACTTGGCAGGAGAGCTTACACTTTAATTGCCATTGGAGTGATATTAAAAAACCTCCAGTTATTTAAATGTGTACAGGGATTTGAGATAGTGCGCAGGTAACTTTTTTTGTTTTTGTTCTGTGTATTGGCGTTGATGTGTACTATAGTCATTGCTGCCGCCTGGGAGTAGTGTAAGTTTGAGCAAAGGGCTTCGTTTTGTATATTTATATTATTCCCTGTTTTCTTTGCTCTCTTCCTTTATCCTGCATATTTTGTTCCAGTATTTTGTTATTTCCATGCTTCAAGCAACCATTTTCCACCAGCCAACAATACTCTGTCACAATCTCCAGCAGTTGTAGTGCTAGTGATTGTCTGTCTGTCAGCGATTGTCTGTCTGTCAGCGATTGTCTATGTCTGTCAGCGATTGCCTGTCTGTCAGCGATTGTCTATGTCTGTCAGCGATTGTCTGTCTGTCAGCGACTGTCTATGTCCGTCAGCGATTGTCTATGTCTGTCAGCGATTGCCTGTCTGTCAGCGATTGTCTATGTCTGTCAGCGATTGTCTGTCTGTCAGCGATTGTCTGTCTGTCAGCGACTGTATATGTCCGTCAGTAATTGTCTATGTCTGTCAGCTATTGTCTATGTCTGTCAGCGATTGTCTGTCTGTCAGCGACTGTCTATGTCCGTCAGCGATTGTCTATGTCTGTCAGTTGTCTGATTTTTTTGTAGCTTCTTAAAAATGTCAATGTTTATGCTAGTAGAAACATGAACATTTGAAAACTACAGAATTCTCAGTGTAAATAATTTTCAGATAGAATCGTTTAAAGGTGCTTTAATCTGAATAACCTGTATAAATATAGCTGATAAAACCATTGGCTTTCTGGGGTTTCCTGTCACACTCTATTGTTCAAGAATTGTATTAGATCTTATCACAGACAGCCTCTGCAAGAAGAATTAGAATTAAAAAAATAAACACAATTCATTTCATGGTACACTGACAAAAATATTCTTTTTAAAGTTTCTACATAATCATTGTGTATAAATTCATACATATTTACTTTCAAGGTTATTCAGACTCTTGTCAGATCACTGACTTAGATATTGTAGTCTACATGGTATTATTTATTTTTTTTAAACAGAATGGTTTAATGCAATTGTCTTTAACTGAAAACTAAATGTTATTTTTTTTAGGCAAAATACGTTGATATCAAAATATTCTCCAACTTGATTGAAGTCACTTTTAGGCAGAATTTACCCTACATTTTGCAGTTTGGTTTTTAATAAGCTACAATTCAACGTTTAGTAAACAGAACCAATTAAATTAAAAATCAATTATTTGAAACGGACCTTATTTTATGCTGACAATGTGTAAAAAAATAAATAAACAAGTAAAATAAGTTGCAAGCCTTAAGTATTCCTTTCTGTGATGTAGGACATCCTAGGTTAGACAGACAAAAAAAAGTAAATTAAAATTGGTGCATAAACCCTATCACCGCCTACCACTAACGAACCATTGATGTGTAGCGTTACTTACCTTAACCGGGGGCCGGTCGCGGTCCTCTCTTCAAGCCGCGCGCGGTCCTGCGGCTGCACGAGCCGCGCGCGGCTCATCCAGCTACCTCGGATGGACGGCGGGCAGTGACCGCGTGAGGCGGTCACGTGTCCCGCCTGAATCTAAGAGCGCGCCGCGAGTCTCGGGCGCGCTCTTAAAGGGACGGTGGGTGCCTAAATTGGAAAAGGCATCCCATTGGTCCCTGTCATGCCACACTCCCCATACACTTACCTTTTGGGGGCGTGGATGTGACAGGGACCAATCAAATTAGATGTTTAGGTATTTATACTCACCTTCTTCCCTTTGTTCCTTGCCCTATCATGGTTTCTGTTTCAGTTCCCTTTAGCGCTTGTGGTGTTCAGTTGTGTTTTTCTCGTATTGACTTTGGCTTCGTATTCTGACTTCGTTTTCGCTTTATCCTTATCTGTACTGTTTGCCGGCTTGCTGTTTTCCGTGTACCAGACCCCGGCTTGTCCTAGTTTACGCTGTCTCTCTGTGCCCTTGACCTCGGTTTGTTTCTGGCTCTGTCTTCTCTCATATACGTCAAGTCCGGCCATTCTAAGGTCCGGTAGACGTATCTCTCCTCTGTATTTGCCTCTGTTTGGCTGGATCCTGCGTGTAGGGGTATATTCTCGTTACATTACGATAGGGCCATGGACCCCGCAGATTTAGCTCAACAGATGGCGTCCCATGAGGCAAGATTTGTAGAGCAGGATCACCGTATGGATCAGATAGCCCAGGCTCTCCAGGCGCTCCTAGCTAGAACCGTTCCAGCAACCACACCTAACCCTCCTACGCCCCTTCTCCCTGAAGTATCTACTTTGCCTAATACTTCGGCCCATTTAACACCTCCTCCTAGGTATGGAGGGGACTCTAAGACTTGCAGAGGGTTTACTAATCAGATTGAATTTCACTTCGAAATGTATCCACGTTCATTTCCCACAGAGAGGTCTAAGGTTGGGTTCTTTATGCACCAACTTACCGATAAGGCACTTGAGTGGGCAAATCCTATTTGGGGAGCTAATGGACCTATGGTACATGATTTCAACAGTTTTCTTACGGCTTTTCGTAGAACTTTTGACACAATGAAAAGGTCAAAGAATGCCGCGAGAGCATTAATGAGAATTAAACAGGGTTCTAGGTCTGTGGCTGATTATGCTATTCAGTTTAGCACTCTTGCTTCGCAGGTAGATTGGACCAACAATGGGTTAACTACTGCCTTTATGGAAGGTTTGTCAGATACGATATTGGATGAGGTAGCAGCTAAGGAGCTTCCTATTGCCTTAGAGGACCTTATCGATTACCTCATCGATATTGATAATAGAATTCGTGACAGGCTCTATACCAAGAACAGGAATAGACGTTTTGTTACACCCATTAACCCCAGAGTTAATCTACCAGAGAGTGTTAAAGTGTCTGAGGAGGAACCTATGCAATTAGGGGTTGCCAAACTCTCTGATACTGAGAAATTACATAGGAGAAGGGAGGGACTCTGCCTATACCGTGGTAGGAGAGACCATATGGTAAAGGAATGTCCTTTACTCCCGGAAAACTCTCGCACCTAAGACCTTATAGGGGACTGGCCTTGGGTGTGATATCTAAGTCCCCTAAATTGCCTCCTAACCGCTTGCTTCTCCCGGTTTCTTTATATATGGGAGAGATTTGTATAGTTGACAACATATATGCTCTGGTTGACTCTGGGGCAGCTGAAAATTTTATAGACTCTGGCTTTATAAAGAGAAACAGCATTCCCATCAGAGAGAAGGAGATACCCTTGGCCGTTGAGGCCATAGATGGTAGACCATTAAGTTCTCCAGTTGTTACTCATGAGACTGAACCACTACACATGTACACAGGGGTTTTAC